TCTGTTCAGAAATGCAGAGTCACCTCTGCAACAATTTCCCTGTCTTTGTACGATCTCAAAGCTGCACAGTTATGAGGCTGTCGGGCGACCCCATTTTAAGGCCCGCAAAACACAAGCAATTCTGGCTTCGCCAGGTCGGCCCTCCACAGTAAAGGCGCGAACAAATGAACCGCCCAACTCCGGATTCTACACTCCCTCCAGAATTCGAACGGGGTTCGAACACCAACAATCACCAAACAAAAGGAGAAGAAGCCATACAGAATCGCTTTGTTGGGGTTTTGCCTCTCTCTTGTATAGCAGTGTCTCCGCCCCACAATCGATCGTCTACGCAGGAGCTGATTCAAAATCGAAAGGGTGTTGAGCCTACAGCCTCGGGTCAAAAACGAAAGATCGAGAGGGCTCAGGGCCGTAGGACGCAACGATCTTCGGCCTTTTAGGCCCAAAATTTTCCTCGCAATCGGAGCTCCACGATTGTGGACTCTCTCGCTACCCTCACTCCGCTGACTTCGCTTCGCGCCGCTCTCTCCGCGCACTCGGCTTCGCTCCACTCACTCGTTCGCTCCGCTCCGCTCCGCTCTCTCGTTCGTTTCGCTCCGCCTCGTTTGCTCCGCTCGCTCTGCTTCAGCTCCGTCCGCTGCACTCCCTTCGCTCTCTCCGCGCACTCCGCGTCGCTCCACTCACTCGTCCGCTCCGCTGCGCTCCGCTCCCTCGTTCGTTTCGCTCCGCTTCGTTTGCTCCGCTCGCTCAGTCCGTTCCGCTTCGCTCCGTTCGCTCCGCTCGGGTCCACAATCGTGGAGCTCCGATTCGCTCGTCCTAAAATTTTGGGCCTAAATGGCCGAAGATCGTTGCGTCCTACGGCCCTGAGCCCTCTCGATCTTTCGTTTTTGACCCGAGGCTGTAGGCTCAACACCCTTTCGATTTTGAATCAGCTCCTGCGTAGACGATCGATTGTGGGGCGGAGACACTGCTATACAAGAGAGAGGCCGCGCTTTTGTTCCAGTTTCAGGGCTGTGCGGGTTATCGCTGAAAGTTGGAGGGTGTGGTGCACCTGTGGTGCACCTGTGGTGCACCTTCGGAGGTCCGGGAGGTCCGGGAAAGTTGGGGGGTGTGGTGCACCTGTGGTGCACCTGTGGTGCACCTGTGGTGCACCTTCGGAGGTCCGGGAGGTCCGGGAGGTCCGGGAGGTCGCGGTTTCTGGGCTGTGCGGGTTATCGCTGAAAGTTGGGGGGCGTGGTGCACCACAGGTCGGGGGAGGTCGTGGGAGGTCGTCGTCGCGTCATCGTTTAGGTTGCGAAAATCCAACGGGAGTTTTGATGGTGCGTCCTGAGTCCCTTGTTGCAGAGTTGGAGGCCCGCTTTGGGAGTTGGAGGTCGGAGGTCCCAGGTGAGGTCGGAGGTCCCAGGTGAGGTCGGAGGTCCCAGGTGAGGTCGGAGGTCCCAGGTGAGGTCGGAGGTCCCAGGTGAGGTCGGAGGTCCCAGGTGAGGTCGGAGGTCCCAGGTGAGGTCGGAGGTCCCAGGTGAGGTCCCAGGTGAGGTCGGAGGTCCCAGGTGAGGTCGGAGGTCCCAGGTGAGGTCGGAGGTCCGACGTTCGGGCAGCTCATTTCGTGCGTGCGCACTGATTTTACAGGATTTTGCGCATCATGTGCTGGCACGTGTGTGGAGCTGCTGTGGAGCTGACCTTGTCCCAGTTTCCCATTCGACCGCCCTTGATTTTGAGGATGCCGAGCCGCGGTTCAAGATCGAGCGGTCCATGCAGCAGGCAGCACCACACCTGAGGGCAGCTCATAAGCACATTTTGTAGTCAACTTAACATAGCCAAGACGTCATCTCAACCACGGATCCAACCGCGGAGCTCATGAAAGGATGGTGTTTTTCTCTGCTGGTGATGATGGCTTTATGGTGCAGAGTTTCCGGCACGCCGGATAATGATGGAGGAGCTCCTCTTGAAATGGAAAATGCTAAGGTGGCAGAGACTGGGACCCAGGAGGAGGAAGCTGCTGCTCGTGGGGCGGCGGAGGTCGGGCCCCAGGAGGCCGAGGGGGTCCCGAGTGTGCCCATGGCGCCGGCGGTGGCAGAGCCGGCCGCGTTTTTGGTGACGGGCAGTGCCACGGACAGTGCCATTGTTCCCGCTCCTGAGCAGCTTCCTTGGATCGGGACCGCTGTCGAGTCGGCGGGCTTGACGGAGCGGGTGAATGCTCTCCTTCGGCTCCACCGTCCCGCGTATGTCTCCGCACATGGCCACATCTTCGTCTTGACCCTCAACCTTTTCGAGACTGAGACTGCGCGGATGAACCGGCTGCAAGCTCTGCGCCAAGAAGAAGAGAGACGAGAAAAAGCCCTTGAGAGGGCGGAGGACTTCGAGCGCTACGAACAGTTCCTCGCGGGCAAGGCTCTCCAGGAGAATCCTTTGCTGCTGGCTGCGCAAATGCAGCAGTTAATGACCGGCTTGCAAGAGATGGTGGATAGCACGATAGGGCTGCAGGTTGCTTTGAGGCAGGAAGCTGCGGAAAGAACGGCTTTGGAACGTCGTTGGACTTCTTTGGGGCATCAGTTGACCCAGGTCTTGGAGGCTCTCATGCAACGAGAGGCTGTTCCGAAACCACCTGTCCCGATGAGTCCTGCTTCGAGACCTGCTCCGCGTGCAAGGGGGAGGTCGCCTACGCCAGCTCGACGCCTTCCACCGGCTGGTGAAGATGGGCGGCTACCGCGTTGCGGGCGGTGCCATAACTGCCTGTGGGTCAAGTCGAACCCGAGGAGCAGACTTCACTGTGATGACTGGGGCGCCGCTTCCAAGGCTGAGGGCTCCCTCGAGGCGGCTGTCCCGGAGGAGTCGGGTGCGGATGCCGACAGCACTTCCAACTTTGGCTTCGATCCTTTCGAGCTTCCGAAGAAAGAGAAAAAAAAGAAGAAGCGCAAGATCGAGATGCAGGACATCGACAGCGAGGAGATCGATAAGAAGAATAAACGGGAGAAGGAAAAAAAATCGCGAACTGCCGAAGGTCGCGGCCACAAGCCTCTTCCAGACGGTGACAGAAAGGACGACCCGGACAACGACAAGGGAGGAGCTCCGATGGCCCCAAGGGTCCGCATCATCGATGGCAGGCTGGTTTGCAGTGCCTAGCTTGCTTGCGGGCGGCGGTACCGAGGGGTGGCGTTCTGAGGTTGCTTTTTGAAAAAGGGTGCTGGGGGTGGGCTGGTTTAGGGGGTTTTGTTCCGGGAGTTCGGGGTCCCTAACCCCTTCGGCCCCCCGGTAGGAGTGCCAGCCAAGTGCCCTGCATGCAAGTGAGTGCGCGACGAGCCCCACCCCCGTAGGAGCCCGAACCCCTCGTCCCTGCCTTAGGTCCCGACCCCCTTTTGCTTCTGCCGCTGCTGCTTCAACTCTGTGCTTCTTCTGCCTTTTTGCTTCAAGCCGGGCCAGGGGGGAGGGTGGGCTGGGTGGGGCGGGCGGTCGGGGCGGGCGGGGCGCGGCCGGGAACTCAGAGTGCTGCGGTAGGAGGGGTCGCCGGTAGGAGTGCTGTGTCGTGCGAGGCTTCGGGGTTTGTTCAGGGTTTGTTCGGTTTCAGGTGGTTTGGGCTCCGAGGCTGCCAGGCAGTGTTTGTGCGCGCTCCCCTCCCCGACCCTCTCCCTCCTCCTTGCTCTCGCCGCCCAGGTCCTCTTCGCTCGCGGCCGGGCTCCCGCAGTGTAGCCGTAGGAGGGTCGCCACTAGGAGTGCTTTGCAGGGCAGTGTTGTGCGTGCTTGTGGTTTGCGTCCCCGCCCCCTGCTCCTCCCCTTGCGGCCCTTGCCCAGGTCCGGACCGTCTCCTCGTCGTGCCGGGCACTCCCCCCTAGGCTTCAGGGTGTTCCGAGGCGGTTTTTTGGATTTCCTAAGCAGCGAGGCTCAGGCTGCCAGGTCTAGAGTGCAGGCGCGAGGGCTTCTGCTGAGGGTTTTGGGGTTCTGGGGGTTTTTAGGTCCCGAACCCCTTGGGGTCCCCTTAGGCTGCCTTGCATCCGGGATCCCCGCCCCCTCCGCGGCCCCCAGGTGCAGCCGCCGCCGCTGGGGCGTCGCGACTTCACGCGACGGTGAAAAAGAGGGGCCAGGGGGGCCGAGCGGGAGCACCACTCGCGAGTCCCGGTCCCCCCTGGCCCCGCCGTGCGCATCGGAATGGCGAGGGGCAAAGCCGAGAACCCGAGGAGGGGGGCCGAGCGGGAGCACCACTCGCGAGTCCCGGGCCCTCCTCCCGGCACAAGCGTCATGGCGAGGGGCTAAGCCTAGGACCCCACAGGGACGACGCGACAAAACAACAGGCAGGCCGCGACGGATCGAGGAACGGGATCGTGTGGTGCACGATAGGCTCCACGGAGCGCCATCAGCTCCACGGAGCACCATCAGCTCTTCGGAGCACCATCAGCTCTTCCAACAGAGCAACGCACACTTTTCAAAGCACACTTGAGCCTACAGTCACGCACGTCGTACTGGTCGTGGAAAACAGCAAAAGGGGTTTCTACAAAGTTTGTTACCCCCCTTGGAACTCAGACGATCCACTCGAGTGAGTTCCACTCCAAACGGCGCTTCTATGAGCTGTTAGCCCATCTCTCCGGAGAGAACTGAAGTTCACCGAAAAAGCACTCTGTACACACCACAGCTTCAAACTACTGATGTCGGGCCTCTTCTTGCGGAGGGAAGGAGATTTTGTTCTAGTCCCGACCATCCCATACAGAGTAAAACAAGGACATATGTGAGCTTTGGCATCTTGGGGCCCTTTTCTTGTTCTAGGTTAGAGCTCACATCTTTACCAAAAGCGTGGTGACCAAAACGGCTCTTTACAGACCTTTGACTGCTGCTAGAAACAGGCTTACGTCCAAAAGTAACCTCGGCACTTACAGGCCAAGAAGCTAAAAGGAAAACTCTACGCTCAAGTCTTCTCAGGATTCCTGGGTGGTCAAATGTAGTTTAGCGGCTGCACTACTTTTGACAGTCCTTGAGCCCTTCCACTTCTAGGGAAGTAGCGACAAGTTTCACGTTCACGGCTTACACTGCTTGCAGGCTTTGAGCTGCTTGTTCACTGCAACCTGGCGGTCGATCTTCTTGACATTGGATGGGAGGTGACTCATCCAACGCACCACGTTTCCACACGAGACCTTGTGGTAACTCTTGCCGCGCTTCGGCTCGCCGATGATGTAAACCTTGTCCTCAGGATCACCGCGAGGATCATGAGGAACGTCCTGGACCTCGTTCTCGACGTTGTGCTCCTCCTGCTCCTCGCCGTCGTAGTAGTAGCTCTGTGTGTAGGCTTCGTTGGCTCCCCCTTCGTCGTCACTGCCGTGTGCACCTTCAAAAGGACAAAGAAGCCAACGCTCATCTCCACCATCGCGCGCTGTAGAACTTGAGGGCTGACTCGCCCTCCAACTTGTGTCTTCACATATGCCACCGGGCTCGCCATGGTTAGCGATGCCATCCTCAATGATTCCCAACTCTCGGGAGAACCACTGATGTACTCGATCTCGCACTTGGTTCATGTTGTCGCTGGAGGCGGTGGACTCGCGATTCCAGCGCCTCTTGGGCGCCATGTAAATCACCAGTCCGATCATGCACACCATCATCACAAAGAACATTGCGAAGTGAAGCTTCTGCGCACTCAGGCCGAACAGGAACTCAAACCCCGAAGTCGTACTCGAAGCATGGCCGCTCATCTGCGCAAACTGGCCGGTCACAACTCCCCCCTCGAGCAAAAGCGCTAAAGCTCTAAGGATTTGACCGGCTCCCATGTTGGTCGCGATTGGCGTGGCACTAACTTGGTTCACCGTCACACTGTGGTTAATGCCGAGACCCATGAGGCTCATGAGATGATTCATCCTGGTACGCGGATGCGGCTTCGTCTGCAAATCAGCTGGGCAATCTTTGGTTGGAATGGCCTTCGTTTCATACACTCCTTCGTTGAGCGCTTTCTGCGCCCACAAGTACCCTAAGCTGATGTGTCGAGTTCTTCCTAGACCTTGGCGTTGAAGAATACTTCGGGTAGCCGCATTGTCGACCATGTGCACCAACTTTACCGTAGCTTGGGAACCAACCAAAAACTGCAACATGTGCTTAAGGAATATTCCCTCCGAGAGTCCAAGCAAGGTGGCCATCAGCTCGGACTCGGCAGAACTGAGGCTGATCGTCTTCTGCACTTTGTTACCTGCGTGACACAGGTTGCCGTTGAGGAATATGCAGAACGAAGATATCGATCTCCGATCTGAGAAGGCTTGGCTTCCCCAATCTGCGTCAGTCACTACCTCCAACACATGGTGTGCTCCAAACGGCATGTTGGGATCTTCGGGTTCATCAGGATCTACACCGTCCCACTTCTGCTTCAAGGTCTTCCCTGGCTTGGTCCTTTCCAACCTAATCGGGATCACTGGGTGTAGCTTGAGGTACTTCACGACATGACGCAACAGACCAAAGTCCTCAACGGTAGGGGAACTATTCCTCGAAGACAACACCTTCACCATGTACTGCAAGTCCGGTCTCTCAGCACTCATGTACATGAGGATACCCACGCACCGCTTATAGAGGTGGAGGTGCTCGGAGTCTAAGCTCGCTCCTTGCCCTGGCGCGGGAATCTTGGGTGGACTCGGATTTTGCTTGCCGTGAGCTTTCTCCAAACCCAAGATTGACTGAAGCCTTTCTGCATACTTTGTATCCTGGGTCACCTCAATGGCGTCACCGAGCCCTTGGAACTTCTTCTTCAAGAAATGGGAACAGCCACTACCCAAGTCAACGGGGCCATCCACTTTCAACTTCAAGCCTTCAGCCTTGAGGTCACTGGCCAATTGCATGGGCGCACCCCTGGGTCCTAGAATTTGCATATCATCGACATGGCTGTTCAGCGCCAACTTTTGCTCTACGCAGAACAGAGAGGGGTTGCCGATGAAGCTGTTGAGGCCTTTGTTCTTTAGGATCCCGAGGAGGTGGGTGAACCAATCTTTTGCCCCTGCTCTCTGACCGGGTAGATTGTAAAGGAGTTCTAGGTCGCCGATGTGGGTCTGGATGTACGTGGGCCGCCTCTGTCTCACTTGCAAGTAAGCGTCGGTAATGTCGACGCTCAGCAGCTCCAGTGAGCTGTTCCCTGCAGCCAAACACGCAAGTAGTTTGTGGCTACAGGACACCGAAGCAGGACTATACAGGTCCGTCAGCGAGGGCTCGAGAAACCGGTATTCTTTTGCAACAAGCCGTGCACGACGCAACCAACCATTCCTATATCGCCAGTCCAGTACATACTTGCATTGAAGACGCACTTTCCCTTCTCTATCTTGCTCTCCATTCATCGGTCTCAGCACTGTCATGCCAAGGAGGCGGTCGAGCTCCTTGAGCTCCATCTGCTTGTCAAGGTCAGCCAAAGCCTGAGCTTCGAGTTCTGGGGGTCCCTCTACATACTCACGGCCTTCCCAAGGCATCCCTGCGTCACCTCTCTCACCGTCAGAAGTTTCGGGAACGCCTTCCTCTTCACTTGCAAAGCCCTCGTCGCACTGCAGCTCCAAACTCTCTTCAGGGTCACACACCACAATGTCATCTTCGTGTCCATGCGGCTTTTCTGCATCTACCACACGAACGGGAAACCACTCAACCCTTCCAACCTCCATGTCCGCTGGGATGAGCTCGTGTGAGCTGTTGCTGGCAGCTCCACTCAACCCATCTAAGATGCTCTCCCCGGGGCTGCCTGCAGGTGCTTCTGAAGTCGCCGAGGTTGGAGGATCACTGGCCGCTTCGTCCCCGGGTGGTGCAGCAGAAGGTGCTGCATCAACAAGCAACGGAACCCGTACTCGGGGGCCCCGAGGAACACGCATGGTGACTACATCTTGCAAAGGATTCCAAGGAACACCGCGCATTGCCAGCAAAGCATCTGCTTGATATACTTCAGCTGCTCTCCGAACTGTCCGTGCATACCCTATGCCCTTGCTGGAAGAGACGATGCTCAAAGAACCCATTGAGGAACGGCCGAGGTACACACACTTTTCCCATGGAATCCCTTTCGTCTTCGGTTTGGGTAACAGTTGGCAAAAGACAACCGACCCAAACGCTGCAATCTTTGCATCGAACTTTCGCCCATGGACCAACTCGAACGAAGTGACCCCATCTGTGTGAACATGGTAACGCGTCAGTAAGAAGGCTGCATGCCTGAAGCTCCACTGGTACAACGGGTGGCTCGATTTCAACTCGACTTTCGAATTGGCAGACACGGTGTGCAAGAGGCAAAGACCAAGGCGGCGAACTTTATCTATGTAGCGCTCTGCTCTCAATCCCTGATGTTCGCTGGAGTCGGGGTTTGCCGTCTCGATCTCAGTCTTTAACCCCAACCGTGTCCTAGCCATCTGCACCATCTGCAAAAGCTTCTTCATTGAAGGCTCGCTGTCCCCTCTAAGGGTGACCTGGTCAAAGCCGAGGATCGAAGCCATCTTGACCAGCTCTTCCACGGCCGGTTTGTTGTCCTCAGCTGCTTTAGAACGAACCGGCACACAGACCACGTACTTTGTAGTGTGGCACACTGCCACCAACTGAGTCGTCAAGGGGTGCTCATCATTCTCAGTTTCTCCTGTCCTATTGAACATCCAGTCTACCGAGATAACCGGCACTTCTCTCTTCGGCTGAACCTCTGGATGCGGATCCTCCCTCGAAAGGGCAGCTTGGCAGCTCTCACACCAATCGGCCCGAGGGAGGTGAGTCAGCTCGTGAAGCATAACGGTTTGAGCGTCGGGGCGTTGAGGAAGAGGGCCGTGATTGACATCAGGGGTGTACTCTGCTATGACTGCATCACTTGCTTGCACAGCTGACTTGAGCTTGTTGAGTGCAATCTCTTTCTGCAAACGCGTCCACAACAAACTCTTAGCACCACTCTGCGGAAGCTTCAAGTAGCGGCACGCCCAGCGAAGATCACGAAGGCTAGAGGTTTCACGAAACTCCTTGTCACCTACCTTCACCACCTCGCCTTCCAATGGCACTTCTTGCATCTCCGGTCCGCCCACGGGCGCGCCTGGCTGTTGAACTCCATCATCCGCTTCTCCAGGTTCGGCAGCTTCTTCTTGAGACGCAGCAGGTAACCTGGGAACCAGAGGGGATTGAGGGTCAGCAACAACTTTTCCCAGGTCAGTGGCAGCCAAGGCGTTCTGAGTCAACAAGGTCACGATCCTAGTCGGCTGGCACCCTATATCCACCACAGGCTTCAACTCCCAATTCTCACCGCACTCGAAAATCTCAAACCTGTTCTCCCCTTTGTGCACCAACGTGGTACGAAGAGGCAGGATCTCGGGGTCATAAAGCTGGCTGGGGTCTGCAGTCACTGTAGAGTTCCACTGCACATGTGTGGGCGTTGATCCCGAAGTCACTTGCCAGCCTTGCCGCTTGAGTCCAGCTAAGAACTCATCGCTCACCTCAATCACCACGCGTACACAAGCTTCTTCGGTCCTCAGAATGCGCATGGTGGCTGCAACAGAATTTCGGGCAAAGTGGAGGGGAAACTCTTGATCGCCTTTGCACATCACCATGACGCCGTCTTCTGTAGAACTAGCTTTCGGATACCAGCCACCGCGAAACAGCTTACCAGCACATAACAAAGGTTGCCGAACATTTGCTAGCACCGCTCGATCTCGGAAAACAATCTCTCGACCATCAAGCCCTTGCACCACAAAGGAAACATTGGCTCTCTGCGACATCTGCGGAATCGGCGTGCCTTGGGCATCCAAGAGCCGAGTAGTCTGCTTCTCCGCCACACCGACGGTGCTGAAGAGATGCGCTGGAAGCACAGTGACATCAGCACCTGAATCCAAGATGACTTCACAGGGCTCGGAAGGGTCCGTAGGGCAGCACACCGCACGAACTTCACAGTCGCATTCAGAACTGCACTCTCGGAAAAACTCATCTCCGCTGCTGTCACGATCAAGCTCAAAGCAAAGCGTGCTGGTGGAAGGAAGCTCACACTCTAGCTCAAAGCACTCGACGCTTGCAAAGTCTACCTCTTCAAACTCAGCGCTAGAGTCACTGTACCAACCATCACACGCACTGACTGCCCTGATGTACTCATAGGCTTCAGCAGGAATTTCGGATTCATCCCACCAGCCATACTCATCCCAAGCTTCTTCACCCTCGTAAAAGTCAACCTCCGAAACCAAAGCAGTGCTATGCCAAGCCCCAGTGTTGTCACCATCGTCGTCTGGGAGCTCCTCGATCAGCGGCCACGTGTCCAGCTCCATGCGGCAAACCTTGGCTGGGGAAGAGGTTGTTGTTGAGGGTGTTGTTGTTGAGGATGCCGTTCGGGTAGTACTTGAGGAAGCCCTAGTGCTCACAGAGGCATTATCGTCTTCAACTTGGTTCACGCGGCGATCTCTGCACTCAGCTGCTCGGTGACCCATGCGACCACATACAAAGCAAGGACCCTTAACAGCTCCACCTTTCTTGCCCTGCTTGCCGCCTTCATGGGCCCACTTGCCCTTGTAGCCCTTGCCTTTGTCCTGGTTGCCTTTTCCGAAGCCACCGAACTGAAAGCCCTTGCCAAAACCAGGTTTGCCCTTGCCGGTCTGGTAGTACCCCTTGTAGCCCTTAAACCCCTTTCCTTTGTCGCCACGGCCCTTGCCCTTGGCGTCCTTTCCCTTTGCTTTGCCTTTCTCGACGCGGTCCACGTCCATTGGGGCAAGACCTTGTCCATCTCCTGGGTACGAGTTCTTATCGAGGCCTATGGCTTTCATGACATACTCCGTGCTCCAAGTTGTTGAAGTGCGCTCAAACTGCAGCAAGATGCCCCTCAGCTTCTGATAAGTTGTTGAATCATCTATCTGCAACTGCAAGTAGCGCTTCACATCTTGGGGTAGGCCACTGAGGAGGGTCCCTATCTTTAAATCGTCTGGGTAGGTCTTGGAGGAGGCCTTTTCGTACTCCGAGACCAGTTTTTCGAACGTGAGAGCATACTCTAAGACTGAACCGCCATCTCGAAGAGGTGGGAACTTGGTGAGGGCCTGTGCTAAAGCCAGCGTCCGGGGTCGGGACGATGGCTGCAATTCTTCTGCCAACTGCCTCCAGACCCTAAAGCCATCGCCACTTGCCACGGATCTCAAGATCTTCAAAGCACGGCCCTTCAAGTAGGAGGCCAGCACCGAATACAATCTCAAAGAACGCGCTCGCAAAGCCGGACTATAATCCTCAAAGGAAACCCACATCGTTGCAGTCTCGGCTTTCTCAAAATCAGCCCTATATTCATCATCTTGAACTGCCATGAAGTTCCGGAAGCTGAAGGACCAATCGGGCCAAAGAGCAACCTCCTCATCTAAGGTCTTAGCACTGAAAACCTCTGGGCTCTTGATCCACTTGCTCTCTTTCCAAGGACTGCCACCAGACGACCCACTGGCTGCAGCTAGCTGAGAAACCGCTTCTGCCAAACGCCCCAAGACGATCTCTGGGGTCACAGCTTGCGCCGAGGGCGGCGTAGCCGCGGGCGCTCCCACGGACGCGCCCCCTGGGCTCGCCCCTCCATCATCTCCAGCCGCAGGCTGAGGCTGGGCCGCCTCACCAGCCGAAGTAGCCATTCTTCAAGAAGGGCCCAAGGCTCAAACTACTTCCCAAGCAAGGAGGTACCTCACAACGAAGTTCTGGAAGCCGCGAGCACTCGAGCACACGACACGCGAAGAAAGTCCCCTGGACTATGCTGGCACAAGCCAGGGCTCAGGATTGCCGCGAGCACTTAGGCACACAACAACCCACTACACTTACGAGCTTGCACCTTCGCAAGCTCCGCTACCACAACAGAGCAACGCACACTTTTCAAAGCACACTTGAGCCTACAGTCACGCACGTCGTACTGGTCGTGGAAAACAGCAAAAGGGGTTTCTACAAAGTTTGTTATCTTCGGAGCACCATCAGCTCTTCGGAGTAGCATTGGGCCCAAGGGCCACCCAAGCCGGATTGGAATAAAAAACTCCTTGGAGCCACCTTTTTCCCCTTCTTATATAGGGGACCGAGGGGCTTAAATTGGCTGGGGGCGCACATCCTGGTCGAACCACTGGGCCCACGGGCCGGATCATTGGGGCTTCGTGCCCGGACCATTGGGCCCACGGGCCGGAACATGGGCCGGGGTGATGCACCGCCGCAGGTGCACCACAGGTGCACCACAGGTGCACCACAAAAGCTCGGTTGGCACGATTGCTCCGGACGCTGGGCACCCTTCTATAGGGGGCACCTCAAAACCCAGGGGTGCACCACAAAAGCTCGGTTGGCACGATTGCTCCGGACTTTGGGCACCCTTCTAAAGGGGGCCCCTCAAAACCCAGGGGTGCACCACAAAAGCTCGGTTGGCACGATTGCTCCGGACGCTGGGCACCCTTCTATAGGGGGCACCTCAAAACCCAGGGGTGCACCACAAAAGCTCGGTTGGCACGATTGCTCCGGACTTTGGGCACCCTTCTTTAGGGGTCCCTCAAAACCCAAAGGTGCACCACAAAAGCTCGGTTGGCACGATTGCTCCGGACGCTGGGCACCCTTCTATAGGGGGTCCCTCAAAACCCAGGGGTGCACCACAAAAGCTCGGTTGGCACGATTGCTCCGGACGCTGGGCACCCTACTATAGGGGTTTTCCGAAAGCTAGGTGCACCATAGGTGCACCACAGGTGCACCACAGGTGCACCACAGGTCAGGCTCGTTCGGTTGCTCGCTTCTCCCCTGCTGCCTTTTAGAAATTTCATTCCGCAGCAATTCGCTGATCTCCGAAACCGCCGCAGCCTTCAGAGTAACCGCGATGCCGAGCCAGCACGTGCCCGGAAAGGGATCTTTGCAGACGCTCCGCACTAAGGTGGAGACCGGCCACATGCGCTCCGCGAAGAAAGGCTGCCTCGGCCGCAAACTGACCGCAGAGGAGCTCGAGGCGTGCAAGCGGGAGCTCGCCGAGCTGGAGGCCAAGCGCAAGGAGGGCATGGAGCACCGCAAGAAGGTGGCGAAGGAGACCCTCCAGAACACGAGGGATCTCAAGCAGGGCCAGGCCGAGCTGAAGCAGGGCCAGGGCGAGATCAAGGACGGCGTCGGCCGCATCGAGCAGAAGCTCGACCGCATCCTCGGGGCCGAGGGCAGCAGCCAGCACCACAGGGAGCTGGCCAAGCAGGCGACCAAGCGCGAGCGCGAGAAGGCCAAGGAGGAGCTGAAGCGCCAGCGCGAGGATTCCAAGCGCCAACGCGAGGATGACAAGATCCGCAAGCTCCTTTCCGTCGGGCTGTCGATCGACTGTGTCGACCGCTTCGTGGACGGTGTGCTCATCAGGGGCGGCGTGCTGTCCCCGCAGTGCTTCGAGGTAGATGACCTTGGCGCCGCGTTCGAGCTGTGCGGCTTGGACTGTCGCCTGGCGGCGTTGAAGGGCTCCATGGCCCTTGTCCAGGTCATGCAGTGGGAAGGGCGCACTTTCCCGGAGAGCGAGCTGAAGAGCCTGGGGCTTGAGAAGATGGAAGCCCAGCCGCGAAACGGCTCGGCTGGCATGGAGATCGTTTACGAGGAGAGCAAGGGGCTCATGTACAACAAGCCAATCGTGAAGACAGGAGCGGAACGTTGGATTCGAGTCACCGAAAGGTACCCAAAGACTCCGTGTAGTGACCATTTCAATACGCGGACCACTTTTCACTATTTCGATACATTGGTCTATTTCTATACGCGGTTTTTGCTGTATTTTTAATGCTTGCATTTTGAAGTGTATATCGATAGGTTTTGTGCACGTCTCATGATGTGCAGTGCGTGTGCATGCCCGGGCTATAAGCCTGGAAGCGTGTTTTATGCATGTGTGCGGCGTTGTTTGTCTTTGCATGTGCATGTGGTGTCTCGCGTGCATGTGTACGTGTGTGTGTGTGTACGTGTGTGTGTATTGTGCGTGCGTCCGGGGGGCGTGTTTTCATGTTAACGGCTCGCCCTCTGGTCGATAGCATATCAGCTCTCTCGATCCTCTCGTTTCTGTCCCTCTCGATGTCCCTGTCGTAGAGTCGTCCCATCTCGCTCGCTCCCATCAGCTGTACAGTGCTCTAGATCTAGTACACGGGATTCGGAAGATTCGGCACAGTGCTCGCTAATTATATGAGGATCCGGCAGCGCTTATCATTATAAGCACTAGGTATCCTCGGAGCTGAAGCTGGGGGTTTCCATACGGCCGCTCAGGTTTCGAATTAGTTGAATATATTGCAATTAAAGGCTAGGCCGGGGTCTGGGGCGTAGAATTCTCCTTATTAGTGCCAGCAGCGATACGATGCCGGCCCGGTTACAGCTGCTGAACGAAGTCAGCAAGAAGCGATCGGCCGCCGAAGGTTTGTCCACCATTGTCCACCCCAATGCCCTGCATTTGCACTGCTGCATATAGAGCATGCGCAGGGACTGATCGATTGCAGCTCGAGTTGCAGTTTGCCGCATTGCATCATGATCAAAAGCGATTCTAAATGGAGCTTCAGCTGCTCGATTCTTTGCATGTCATGCTTCAAAAACGGGCCAGGTTGCAATAATCAGCTCGAAACATGCTACTAGAATTATGGGCCCTGCTGGAGGCTTTGCAAATTTCAAGCTTCAGCTTCAAGCACGATTGAGTGCACAGGTTGCAGTCTTTCGAATCATTGCTACAGAGCTCGGGTTAGGAGATCTAGCTAGACATGGCACCGGCTGAGTTCAAGCAGATGGATTCGCGATGCGGAGGGAAGCAAGTGCTGAGGCCCTTAAGGTTCCACTGCTCAGCAGCTGGGCTGCATCATCGATTTAAAGACATACTTGGAGGGGCAGGGGACTTAGTAAGTACGTTATTATTAATTATAAGTACCCTTAAAAAATGGAGTTACCCCAATTATAATCCTACTTCTAAACGACTTACTAAGTCCCCTGCCCCTCCAAGTACATGATTTTTCGGGCAGATGCGCTATCCCAGGAAGGATTCTATTTAATTACCTGAATATATAGCCGATAGCACCTATGAACTCCTTCATCAGGAGAAGGCTATGGCCGTCGTGAAGGCGCTCCGCGAGACAGTGGAGTCCCGCCTGGCCGAGATCAAGGCGGATCCCGCTACTGGGATGCACGGGTCCGTGAATAAAGGTATTGCAGGGACTTGTGTATATTTGTGTATTGCCTGAGGCTAGAACGATCGTAAAGATTTTGGAGACGAACCCAACCACGGCCGACTTGATGGAAGATCCTAACTACGGTCTGATGAAAGCGGTCATTTGCAGCCTCATGATCGGTGTTCGCAAGAGACGAGACCTGATATCGGCAAGAGAACATCGAGTCAGGGACTTACGTGCGAAGTGTGCAAGGTATCCTGTGGCTAGTGCTTCTGTGATTCGGCCCGATTCGCGGGCTCACTCTGGCTTAGGCAGGGGTTCTATATCTGGGCTTGGTCTACGGGTTCTGGTCGCAGGAGGAGATTAAGAAAAGAGGAAAGAAGCATGTGAAGGCCAGGTTTCAGCATCACATTCCTTAATAGCCGGTCTTTGCAACAATTAATGTTACCAGTGCGACCAGGACTGGGCAGAGTTACAAGGGAGTCGAGCACGCCATCTGCAGTCCTACTTCCTACACGTGATCAAAAGGACTCCGCACGCCAGGCTCCTCCGTTATAAGTATAGGCCCTATAATTATAACAATCTCGAAAGCTGATCGCCCCCTCGCTCGCGATCGATGCTAGTATATATGTATCTATTTCTGAATATAGTACAACATATTCCAAATATATTTACTGAACCCCTTGAAACCCTAGCCTCGGAAGCGGAACACAAAAGAAACGCTTTGATCAGCAGCTCAACTAGGCCGGTACATGTACATAGATATGTAGTATACGCCCTCCAATAAGATGGAACGTTGATTTTAAGCACCTTTAAATCCCAAAGGGTCCTATATGTACTGTTATGGGGGATACTTCCCTAAGTCATAATCGTAATTCCTAATAATATGGAAACCCTACATATCTACCATATCGGTACATATATATGACCCTTTGGGAATTATAAGCTATACGCCCGTGCAGGCTCGAACGCATGATTGTGTTGAAAACTTTGTACTACCGTGTGAACAACCTGGACATGCCCACAAGATCCTCGTCATCCAAAAGTGTCTCTTCGGTGTCTCAGCTCGATATCATTCAACAAAGTAGGCTAGATCTAGAGTACTCCGATGCTGAGCTAGTGTGGATAAAGCAGATGATTTTCGCTCAGGTAGAGACAGAGGCTTCTTCCGGCCTCGATGAGGAGGAAGACGTGCAGGAGATCGAGAGTTTGGATGTGGAGAGCGCGGATGAGAAGGATGACGAGGTACCCAAAGGGTCCTATATGTACTGTTATGGGGGATACCTCCCTAAGTTATAGTAATTCCTAATTAATATATCGATATGGTAGAATGTAGGGTTTCCATATATATATATAATGGAAACCCTACATTCTACCATATCGGTATAGGACCCTTTGGGATATATATATATATATATAGGCCCTAGGAGTACATTACTACAGAATGAGTGCCCCGAGGTGCCTGGCCAGTCTGCTGCCGAGAGCATCCGCGAGCTGGTCGTCTGCAGCAGCGAGGA